TTTTTCTCCTTCTGGTTATTCAAAACCTGCCATAATACCTACACTTCAGCCCTCACTGAAATCTTCAAATCTGTGATTTATTTTCCTCTTCCTGGTCTCACTTCCTTCCAACGTGCCCTATAGCTGTTCCCCTAAACCTCTCTTATGCTTGCATTTCTGCCACATGTGCCATGTTAATTTTTAACCTTAGGGCATACTGTTGATTCTCTTATTTTCTGGCCATTTCTTTTTTGTTAATCTTTCTTCCACATTTCAATTTTCGTAGTTTGACTTCTGAGTCCCAAATGTCGCTAACCCAGACATTGCTTTTGAACTCTAAACTCATACATTCAAAACAAAATATTTTCATCCTCACCCTCCAACATATCTAAAATAATCTTCCCATCCCTCACCTTACTATTCTTCTAATTCCATATTTCTATCCCAATTAATGGTATTCATCCAGTCACCCAAGCCCAAATCCCAGGAGTCATTTTCAGGATTTCACTCATTCTTTTTCATTCAACTATTCTAGGGACACACAATTATCTGTATGGGTGGACGTGTGCACATGTGTTGTGTCCATACCTACATACGGCTTTCAACAGAGTGTCAGGGAAAGCCTCACTGAGATGAAACTAAGCAAAAAAACTGAAAAAGGCAAGGAAGCAGGTTATGCAGATAAATGGGAAATGCATACCAGGCAAAGACACAGCCAGCACCAAGGCCTGAAGACAGGAGTGTGCCGACACCCGGGAAGACGGAGGCAGCCAGTGCGCCTGCAGCAGAGCGAGCCAGAGGAAAGAGTAGATGAGGGAAGGCAGATAACGGGAGTCAAGGCCACTAGGTCATTAGAAAGACCCTGGCTTTTATTCTGGTGAGGGAGAGAGCCACCAGCAGTAAGTAGGAGGCTAATGCAGTGCCTGGATCATGGTGGCTGCAATGGAGGTGGTTAGGAGTAAATATTCTGGATATATTTTCTTAGTCTCAGGATTTGCAGACACACTGCATGTGGGTATCGGAGAAAAAGAGCAGTTGAAGATACCTCCAAAGGTTTTGACCTGAGCAGATGGGGAAAGTTACAAGTGAGCAAGTTAGAGAGGATACCAGGAGTTTGGTTTTGGACAAGTTAAGATTAAAATACCTATTAGAACCAAGTGGCCATGTCAAGTAGGCAATTAGATATATGAATCTGGCATTTGGATTTAGGAGACAAAAGGAAATACACAGTATTTAAAGCCGTACGAATGGCTAATTTCACCATGAAGGGGAGTGTAGATAAGAGAACAGAAGCTGAGCAAGGACTTACTTAGCTCTGCGCACTCCAATGCTAAGTTGCTGGAGAGAAGAAAACAAACACTGAGAATGGAGGACTGGTGGGGTGGGAAGAAAACTAAGGGAGTATAACTCCCAGAAACCAAGAGAGGAAAGTATGTTTAGGGGGAGAGTGAACTATCATATCCCTGGCAGGGACTGCCAGCAGGTCAAGGAAAATGAGGACTAAAAACTGACCACTGGAACAACAATGGAGATCACTGATGATCTTGACAAGCAGTAATTACAGCACAGATTTAATCAACAATTCTTTTAACAAGCATTGCTGTAAGGGGAGCAATGAGGCATAGCTAGAGGTAGAAGTTAAGACAAAGTTTCTCTAGGGTGAGAAATATCACCATGTTCATACACTGATAGGGATGCCTGAGAAAGAAAAACTGATGCAGGAGAGAGGGGACAACTGCAGGAATACATCTGTGAGTAGCAAACATGGGATCTAGCACACCAATGAAGAAAACAGCCTTAAATACAAGTTGTACAACCAAAACGATTTATTTATTATTTATCATCTCTCCCAACACTAAAGCTTAAGTTCCACAAGGACAAAGACTTTTGTCTGTTTTGTTTACTGCTATAGCCTAGAACAGTGCTTGACACATAATAGGCATGCAATGGAGTGGGTATTTACCCCAAAGATACAAATGTAATGATCTGAAGGGGCACCTGCACCCCAGTGTTTATAGCAGCAATGTCCACAATAGCCAAACTATGGAAAGAGCCCAGATGTCCACTGACAGATGAATGGATAAAGAAGATATGGTATATATATACAATGGAATATTACACAGCCATCAAAAAATGAAATCTTGCCATTTGCAATGACGTGGATGGAATGAGAGGGCATTATGCTAAGCGAAATAAGTCAATCAGAGAAAGACAATTTTATCTCACTCATAGGCAGAATTTAAGAAACAAAACAGGAGATCACAGGGGAAGAGAGGAAAAATAAAACAAGATGAAACCAGAGAGGGAGACAAACCATAAGAGACCCTTAATCATAGGAAACAAACGGAGGGTTGCTTGAGGGGAGGGAGGGTGGAGGGATAGGGTAACTGGGTGATGGACATTAAGAAGGGCATGTGATGTAATGAGCATGGGGTATTTTATAAGACCGATGAATCACATATCTGCACCTCTGAAACCAATAATACGTTACATGTTAGTTAATGAATTTAAATAAAAATGTTTAAAAAAATAAAGCAAATTTACTTCAACAGAAATACTTTTTTTGATGGGAAAAAAAAAAGGAGTGAAGAAGAGGAGAAAGTACAAGTACAGGTGACTTTTTTGATAAGTTTTCCTACAAGAAGTGCAGAAAAATGCAGCAAAAGCTGGAGGGAGATGTGAGATGAAATGATTTTTCTTACATGGAGTATATTACAGCATGTTTGTCAGAGCTGATGGAAATGATCCAGTAGAGAAGAAAAATTTGATGATATATGAGACAGAAGATAAGAACAGAGTGAAATCAGTGAATAAAAGAAAGGGAACAGGATCTGCTGTTGGACTGGAGGAACTGTCTCAAATAGGAGCATGGACAGTTCATTTTGAATGGTAAAGGCAGAGTTTATGGGCATCTATGGTGGGGAAAGGGCTAATAGAAATGCTAAGTGGGAACAGGTGAGGTTTTTCTTTGCTTCGACTTTCTCAAATATATACATAAGTTTATCAACTGAAGATAAGGAATAGGTAGCACATACTGGAGAACTGGAGGTCTGGAAGATGAGAATTGCCTTAGAGTGCAGGAGAGTGAATATCTAGGGAAACGCGGAATATCTGTAAATGAAAAACTGAAACACTTTAGGTTAGTGGACATGAATTCAAAGTGAGACCATTTACCACGGTTCCGTTTTTCTCCAGCCACTTTTGGCTGCCCTGAGGGCACGTGTGGAATAAGAGTTTTAACCAGTCTGGTTAACAAGCAAGTGTGAAGGAGTAGGAAAAGAATAAAGAAAAATAGATGATTAAATCTAAAATGGATAGGGAGGGAAGTCAAAAGTGTGTTAGTAAAACGGCGTTGTAGTAGGATCGAAGGTTGTAGTAGGATCGAAGAGTTGTTGGAACCGGGGTTCTCAATTATCCCTCAAAAGCCTTGGTCAAGGCCACGTAAGTGAGTGCTAAAGTAAGCTCTTCATTCCCGCAATCCTTTTCCCGGGAAGTGTCGGTCAAACCTCTCAGTATCCCTAAATCACGTCCCCCCTGCCTTTGTCAAGAGAGCTTTTATAGAAGCGGAAAGTGCGGCTCCCAGTAGCTGCTCGTCCCAGATCTCCCCCTACCTCCAGGAGTTTAGGGCCAACTATCTCCGCGAGCAGTCCTTCCCAAACTCACTGTTGGTACCTGTGTTGGGCGTCGCTAACCGCCGGCGAAGAATTTCTTTCCAGTCCATGGCTGACTCCCGCGCAGCAGCTTCTGCATTTGCTGTTTACTAACCGCTCCACCCCCTACTAGCTCAGACTGCAATCACCGCCCAACCCCGTAAATGTCAGGAACGCTCAACCGCCATCTTGGACTTGGGCGGAAGTCGGTTAACCAGGCAAAAACCCATTACAGCTACTGCGAATACAGCGATCATGTTAATAGCGGGGAAAGCCGACTTGAAACAGATGGAAAAATGATTCTCTGTAAGGCAGCGCCCAACTTCACCAAGTCCAATTTTAAAGGATAAGGATAAGGAAGACCCCGTTTTTATTTCTTTAACTTGGGACTTTGGCGCGTGTGTACCACGTGATTCAGGAGACCTATGGCGTTTCCGGCCCGAGGAAGAGATTTTTTTTTTTTTTTTGCTTCACAATTTCTTTTCATTGCTCACTGCGGATATCTAAAGGTCCTAAAGTTTCCCTGAACATAGCAGACGTTTTCAACAGCCCCTTTTGCCACTAACAGCTTCAAAATTGTCTTTTTATCGCCGTCAGGCCCGGCGGAACGCCTCCGCGAGGTTCAGCCACGCCCCGTGGCCGGGGCCCTCGCGGTGCATTGTGGGCGCGGTAGTTCGGCCGTGCTTATGGTTGCCTTGAGCGTGAGTGCTGAGGTGAGTTGTTGAATGGAGTGAACTTCGTTTCTGAACGGTCGGTACACGGCCGGCACTGCCCTTCGTGGACCTTCCTTCCTTACCTGAATTGTCAGTTCGGCTCTCTCCCCACCTCCCCCGCCCTCATATCGTCACCTGACGCGTTTGGCGGCCTGAGAGGGTTGTTATGCCGGCCCAGGGCCCCTAGATTTTGGCTTTTCGTCGTTGTCCATGCTGCTCCTAGGTCTGGGGTTGGGGACACCTGGTAGCCGTGTTCGACTTTGCGCCCCTCCTTCAGCAAGGCTCCCATGGGATCCTCTCTTTTTCAAGGGCATTTGTGATCCACGCGAAGCAAACTGGACGGACCTCCTTGTGCTTTTTCCTCGGGTTCACAGATTGGAATATATCAGGCACCGGAGGATTCCTGCCCTGTCCCGGGGTTCTGGGACTTGCGACCGAGGTCGGATGTTCCGGGATGGTTGTTAATGGAGAGAACTCAGCAGGCTTCGTTGTATTAAGTAGCCTCAAAAGCAGATCCTTGATTTGTCTGTGAGAAACTGAAAATCATCTTTTAAGAAGTTGTGCTTCGATTCTCCGCCCACACTCCCAATTCCTTAATTATGTTGCAGAAGTAGGGGCTTTTTTAACATCTATCTGGTGCTGATCTCACTGCATGATGATGACTTTCTGTTTCACTGGTGTTCGAAGCTTTCCTAAGCTTTGGAAGAGCAACCCATACCTTGGCCTAAGTCCAGGACACTCTTATCTCTCTCTCTTTCTCAAAGACTGTTATGGCATCCGGAACCAACAGAAGTGGTTTTCTGTTAAAACAGTGTGTGCACAAAATACTAAAGCAGTGAATCTGCTGACTGCCAAGGCCAGATATCTCAGGAAAGGAGATGAAGGCAGTAATATGCAAGTTTCTTCTGAGTCCCACCTTTTTGCAGCTGGAGCGGCTAAGAAGAGATCAGAGATGAATCCTCATAAGGAAGATCATGCCTTGCCACCTGTGAGGAACAGTATTCAACTCCCAACAAAACCTTTGAATTCAGAAGAGTGGGATAAACTCAAGGAAGATTTCAAAGGAAAGGCTAAATTTGAAAGTTGGATCATTTCTCAAATGGCCCACTCCCATAGCTCTGTAGACGTGGCCAAATCTCTGTTAGCCTGGGTAGCTGGAAAAAACAATGGTATTGTAGGCTATGATTTGCTGGTCAGGTATTTGTATCTCTGCGTCTTTCATAAGCAGACATCGGAAGTTATTGATGTCTATGAGATCATGAAAGCCAGATACAAGAGATTAGAATCTGAAGGGTATACTCTCCTCATCCAGGGATTAGTCCACTCAGACAGATGGAAAGAGGCCTTGCTGCTGTTAGAGGATGTCAAAAAAGTCATGATCGCTTCAAGAAAGAACTACAATGACTGTATAGAGGGAGCCCTCCTTCATCAAGATGTAAACCTAGCTTGGAATTTGTATCAGGAATTGTTAGGTCATGATCTTATTCCTATGCTGAAAACCTTAAAGGCATTTTTTGATTTTGGAAAAAACATAAAAGATGATCAGTATTCAAACAAGCTACTTGACATTCTTTTGTATCTAAGAAATAATCACCTGTATCCTGAGGAATCATTTGCACAGAGTATAAAAACATGGTTTGAGAGGTAATTTTGATCTTTCTTTATATGTATGTTTTTATTTTAATACGTCTACCTAAAAGCAGCCACCTCCTTTTGTTGTTGTTGCTGAGAATTACTCTATTCAGATTATACTTCTTTCATTCTCTCAGATTTGTTTCCCTTTAAAGACAACATTTTGGGATGCCTGGGTGGCTCATTTTGTTAAGCATCTGCCTTCAGCTCAGGTCATGATCCCAGGATCCTGGGATCGAGTCCTGCATCCGGCTCCTTGCTCAGCGGGGAGCCTGCTTCTCCCTCTGCTTTCCACTCCCCCTGCTTGTGCGCTCTCACTCACTCTGGCAAATAAAATCCTTAAAATTTTTTTTTAAAAATTAAAAAATAAAATTAAAGACAAAATTTTCTTTCTCTTTAAAAAAAGTAGTAGCATAAACAAATTCTATTCTCAATCACATTAAAGGGAAATTATCAGGCACTTGTATGTTTTCATGTATTTTTTTTCTTTGTGGAAGGATCATCTGTTTTTTTCTGAGGTGTTTGCCATGTACTTACAAATAGCACTTGTGGCTGGAGTTCATAACAAGAAGACTGGAGCTGTCTTTGGGTCATATTAGTATTTAAGAAGTTCTTCTGAAGCCTAGTGACTGGTATCTGTTTAATCTATGCATTTCATTAACTTGGATTGTTAGAGCAGATGGGGGACCCTGATCAGACATGATACGCAAGTGTTAAGAATGGAAAATCTCATTGTTCCAGTTCATTTTGGATCTTTCCATCATCCAGCAGCTCTCTCCAAGGCTCTCTGCTTTCTCTTTGCTTTTATTCATGTTAGTGGCTCTGTGCCTATTTATTGCTTCAATCTTTTTTTTTTTTTTTAAGATTTTATTTATTTATTTGACAGAGAGAGAGACAGCAAGAGAGGGAATACAAGCAGGGGAAGTTGGAGAGGGAGAAGCAGGCTCCCCACCGAGCAGGGAGCCCGATGCGGGCTTGATCCCAGGACCCTGGGATCATGACCCGAGCCGAAGGCAGACGCTTAACGACTGAGCCACCCAGGTGCCCCTATTGCTTCAGTCTTTTATTCACTTATTTCTTCACCACTAATTTGTTTCAGGCTCTTTTCCTAAAAACTTAGTCCTTTTCTGTTTTTCTCATTTCAATTATATATTCTCTTTACAGATCTTTGAAGTAGCAACCATGCTTAATTATCTTATTTAACAAATTTATTGAATGTTACTGGAGGGGCTAGGTTGTGAAAATCTTGAATGCCAGGGATTTTGGATTTTACTCTGTTACCTTGGAGTAGAGTTTTAGAAAGGTAACTGCCAACACACACACACACACACACACACACACACACACACACAAAGGTTGGAGAGGGATTAAGATTGGAAATAAGATCTATTTGGAGGCAATTGTAGGTTTGAATGAGAGATGATGAGATCTTGAGTTAAGAACTAGGGAAGGAGAGAAGGCAATTGAATCAATAGAAGCTGATAGTAGTCTATGTAAGAGGAAAGAAAGGATAAGTTGATTGAGCAAATAAATCAAGTAGTTTTGAATGCCTCCATTTGGCTAGGCACTGTGGGTGTTTGGTGATATAAGATCTGTTATGATGGCATTCACAACCTAATTGGGAATATAATACTTGACAGTTTATAGTAGTGCATAAGAAGATAGTATAAGGGAAGAAATTACTTGGGGAGAAACAATCTCTGGTAGCTCTATGGAGAAGGTTAGAGTTGCGTTTGATTTATAGGTTACACTATTAATGTCAGCTACTGGGTCCCCTGTAGGCAGATTTAGATGTGAAGATGAAGGTTGGATGACCAAAGGAGAAGTGAAGGGAAGAAGGAGGTCCACAGTAGGGTACCATTATCTCCTTAGCCCTGTCACAGTATATCACCCACTCTTCTAATTAAACCATTCTAGGGAAGTATCCTGAACTTTTCAGAGCTCTTGCCTGCTGAGTTTCTAAATAAGATGCCTATCTTTCAGTTCTGTAGGAATCCGACCTCCTGATGATCTGGTTTTGCAATCTTTTTTTTGTAGTGTTCCCGGAGAACAATGGAAAGGACAGTTCACAACAGTCAAGGAAAGGTAAAGGCCAGTATTTAATTTTTAACTTGCTTGATGTGGGTTTAGTAGGTTTTGTTGCTATTGATCAAAATTTTTTAAAGAATACATTAGAGATAGGATAATTAAGAGAGTACCCAAGAAAAAAAGCCATGTTTTGCATATGGAGAATTTTCAGTGCTCAAAATGTTTTTCCCATAAAGTGGTGTGAGCCTTGTGTGAAGCCTCAGAGATATTTTCCTTTACAGATTTGGGACCCAGTTGTGTTTTGAGAATGAATTTAAAAACTCTATCTGGGTGCCCAACCGTCTACTTTTTTGGGTTTTCTGGCACACTTAATGTGTGTTATTGTTAGGTTTATAAAAAATTGGATGCATGTGATGATCACAAAGATTATAATGTTCTTTTTTTTCATTACTCTTCAATTTCCTCTTGTCCTAGGATTATTCATTTTAGAAAAAGTTTTTTTCCAGGATACCATTTAACACAAACTATTGTAATTACAGCGGTCAGTGTTTGGGCTGTGGAAAAACCATGGAGTCTATTCACCTGAGTCCAGAAGAGTATGAATTTCTTAAGGGCAAAATCATGAGGGATGTGATAGATGGAGGTGATCAGTACAAAAAGACAACACCTCAGGTGAGTCCTGAACAGGTTTTATTCCTTTTGTGGATTGCTTGTCTAGGATAGGAATTGGCACTTTTTTTCTGTAAAAGACTGAATAGTGAATATTTTAGGCTTTGTGGGCCATATGGTCTCTGCTGCAACTTTTCTACTCGAAATACAGTACATAAGTGAATGAGCATGGCTGTGTTCCATTAAACTATATTTATGAAAATACACTGTGTGCTGGATTTGGCCTGCTGGCTACAGTTGCCAAACTTTAGGAGAGACTGCTTTAGAATTAGCAGAATAATTGGGGTAGACTATCATCCATCTATTGGAGTCAGTCCTGTTTTATCTAGGCATAGGTCCACTTAAGCCAAAGAAATAGGTGCTCATTTTTTTGTCTAAGTACTTCCAAAAAACTGTGTTCAGTAACTCCCATGAAAACATGGTTTCATGTTTTGTAATTCCTATCTTTTGTAATATCCTATCTCTAATGTATTCTTAAAAAATTTTGATCAGTAGCAACAAAACCTACAACTTCTCTAATGAAAAGAGTTTAAGGTAGCTTAACAAAATTTTTTCCAGATTTTCTTAGTATTGAATTTGATTCCGTAAGTCATCTTTAATAGCTTCATTTTGCTAATTTTCAGTACTTTATACTGGTTTATTAAGATTACGTTGAAGAACTAAAATGCTTTTACCTTGGGGAAAGGTCGCTTATTATCTTAGTAAATGCTTTTTCTTCAAGGTACCAAATAAAAACAAGAAGTGAACATTGTTCTGCCTTCTTACCTTCACTGAAAATTTTCACAGAATGCCCTTAGATCATATGAAGACCTTTAAGCTTCAAAATAAAGTCAAAATATGGTCCATAAAAACATTAGCTTCATTTTATGGAATAACTTTTAGCTGATTTTATTGATAAAATTAGAGTTGAGACTTATTAAGTGATGCTAAGTACTTTACATTCATTATCTTATATCTTATTTAATCCTTATAACCACCCTATATGGTACTATTTTATTTCTCTTTTACAGATAGAATGATTGAGACTTTGGGAGATTAAATCTGCCCAAGGACACCACACTATAAAATCTAGGTCCGACTGACCCCAAAACCTTTGCTGTCACACTCTATTGCCTTTCACTGTTTGCAAAGTTCCAGTGACAATCCATAGTTCCATATATACCTGACAGCCAGCTGGTGGTAGCAGCTCTTAATGCTTTAGGAATTTCTGCCAGCTGAAATATGATTTGAACAGATAAATTTCCTTTCTCTCATCAAACATCTGTTGGACACTTATGTGTATTTTCTGAAGTAGATGTTAAGATAGATGCAAGGTTGTGTGCAACTCATGCTGTTTGTTACCAAAGACTTAAACATTTCTGTTGTGGACTAAAAAGTCTTCCCACCTTTCAACTTTTTATTTAATAAAAAGAAAAAAATGAAAGAATAGCACAATGGACACTTACATACTCTTCATTTTGAGTAACCAGTTGTTAGTACGCCACTTATGCTTTCTCTCTATATGTTTTTGTGAACCATTTAAAGGTAGGTTGTAGACATATGACCTTAAATATTTCAGCTTATATCTTCTAAGAATAAGAAAATTCTATAATTGAATACCATTATCACATTTCAGAACCTTAACATTAATTCAGTGTCGTTTAATAAAAGGCACATATTCAAATTTTCCCGGTTGTCGCCCTGAAATGTATTTTATAACTTTTTCCCCTCTGACCCAGGATTCAGTCAAGATGTACTCATTGCTTTTGGTGGTTATGTCTCTCTAAATTGAGAACAGCCCCTCCCCACACTGCCTTTTTAAATTTTTATGACATTGATTTTTTTGAAAAGTCTAGGTGTTTTGTCTTGTACAGGGCTTCTCAAACTTTGTAACTATGAATCACTTAAAGATCTGGTTAAAATGTAAATTATGATTCAGTTGTCTGGAGGGGGGGCCTGAGAATCTGTATTTTGAACAACTCCCAAATGATGTGATTCCGGTCTTTAGATGACATTTTGAGCAGTAAGACTGTGGACTAATTGATTGCTTTCTCCTCCCTTAATTCAGTATAACAGCTCTTGGGTATACATTGCGTGGGTGATGCTGTGTGCTTATTGCCTCAGAGCAGCCACATAATGTCAGGTTATTCTCACTATTGATGCTAAGTTCCATCACTTGATTACGAGGGCAACCGCCAAATGTCTCCATTGTAAAGGTACATTTTCCCTTGGTAATCTTTGTAATTAAAAATTAAGTAACCTGTGGAGTAATACATGAGGCCAGTGCAGATGTCCAGTCATTCTTGCAGATATCCTGTTAACTCTTCACCCAGTGTTTTTCGCATCATGGAGATGATTTCTACTTTGGGAGGTTGTAAAGTGGTGATTTTCTAGTTATTTCATTCCTTTGACATTTATTAATGGGTATTCTATAAAAGATTTCTCTCTCTCTTTTTTTTTTTTGGAGCTCCTGCTTTTTATTTATTTAATTACCTTTTCTAGACATAAGGACTTTTTTTTTCTTTTTTTGATTAATTGTGTTAGAATCCGTCCATTACCATCATCATTCTTTTTGATGCTCAAATTATCCCGGATTTATCCTTTGGGAGCCCCTTCAAGCCAGCTCCTGTGTCTTTTTGACATTTCCTCCACTACCCTATCAGTTGTTTTTTTTTTTTTTTATAAATTTTATTTATTTATTCATGAGAGAGAGAGAGGCAAAGGGAGAAGCAGAGGGAGAAGCAGGCTCCCCACTGAGCAGGGAACCTGATATAGGACTCGATCACAGGACCATGTAATCACAACCTGAGCCAAAGACAGATGCTTAATGGACTGAGCCACCCAGGCACCCATTATCCCCAGTTTTTGCACTTCTCTTATTTCTGGTACAGGATATTCCAGGTTCTCACCTTGAAGTGCTTCTGTCCCAACGATGGAATCATAAATTGAATACTTTTGTTTGACACCTCTCAATGGTTAAACATTGCTATAATTCCTTTTTAATGTATATCACTTTAATTCTCATTTAATGGAGGTAAGATTTGTTAGTTTTCTCTGTTGGCAAAGACTTAGAGTGTTACACTGTTAAGAGGAGTTGCAGGCTCCTGACTATGGTGAGAATAGCAAAGAGTAGTCATATATCTAATTACTGTAATTCACAGAGCAACTGGATATATTCACAGAAAGACTGGAACATTTTAGGTCAAGGGAAATTATTTTCTCTTTTTCTCTTTCCAGGTATACTTCCCTTTTTCCCCACTGAAGGTCTCCAATCCTGTATTGCATGTCTTGTCACCGCCTTTCACCTTCAGGCTATTAACTTAACATAATAATAATAATTGCTACCATTTGTGAAATGATTGCCGTATGTCAGGCACTTATAGATCTGTTACACTCAAAACAACCTTGCAAAGATATCACCATTTTGAATATGGGGAAGCTCGGGATAAGCAGTGTACCCATGGGTAAAGAGCAGCAAAGAAAGTCATAGATGTGGCTGGCTTGTTCAGGGTTTGGTTTTTGTGGTATCAGTGAGGTAGAAGGGGCAAGGATGGACCCAGAACACTGCTGGTGGATTGGAGTAGAAGCAACTCTTTCTCTGGGACTAGAGGAAAGGAATTAGGTTAGTGGAAAAGTTAAGTGTGTCGGTGCAGCAAAGAGTTGAAAACATATATTCACGTCTCTTAATTTCTCTGAAGAGCCTGAGGTAAATCGGTCATTTGAAGGTGAAAGAGAATATGCTAGCCTAAGCCTAAAGGACCTTGAGGAGAGTTTTAAGCTTTGGAAGTTTGGATTATTTGTGAGAGGACTGGGGAAAGTATTGGTGGGTGATGCCGAAGGCCCAGCTGGGGCCAGAGCATAAGTTTGTAATGGCATTGAGCTGTGAGACGTTTTCAGCAGTCCTGGGCCATCCGGGTATAGGAATAGAGAGGGCAGATCGATGGGATGGTACAGGACTTTGCTAGTCCGGTATAGTTGGAAAACAGGAGTTGAGGGTAGAGGTGAAAGGGCAGTGCAATGAAGGGACCATGAGATCAAGCTTGATAGGAAATAAAGATGGGTGGGAGCTCGTGGATTAGGAGACAGGAGAGATAAAAGTGGATCGGAGGCTCGTGGAAGTTGAAGAGCGAGCATGAGAGGAGTGAGAATGCCAAGCAGGAGATTTTGATCAGTGTATATTAGAGGTTAGATTTCAGAGGTAGAGTGCTCCGCAGTGATGACAAAGTCCAGAGTGTGAGAGTTAAGTAGATGAAGAAACAGAGCCAAAAGTGCTAGTTGGTCGTCCACAGATTTATTGAAAGTGTCTGTATGATAATTTTTTAAAAATAATAATTGTAGCCATGTTTACAGATTGCTTCCCAGGTGCCAGGTAATGTGCCTTGTTACTTAGGCTGGTGATGAAGAACTGAGTCAGGTGGCAAATGCCTGAGAAATGTAGAAGTGCCTGGGGTGACACAAGGTGCTAGCAAAGAGGAGGAGTCAGCAAACTATGGCCTGCAGAGCAAATCCAGCCTACTACGTGTTTTTATAAATAAAGTTTTATTGGAACACAGCCACACTCATTCATTTATGTATTGTCTGTGGCTGCTTTTTCCTTGCACAATTGGGTACATATACAAGAGACCATGTGGCTCATACAACCTAAACTGTTTACTGTCTGGCCCTTTACAGAAAAATTTGCTGACCCCTGGTATGAGGTGAGGAGTGGAGACATAGTGACTGTGAAGAAGCAGCAGGTACTAGAAGAGGGCCTCTTTGTCCTCAGTCCTGTAGCATGCTTTGAGAGCATGCATTACTTAAGAACTAAGTAACTAGGAAGTTATTGATAACTTCAGGAAGAGCAGTTTCAGCTGTACACTGGGGGCCAAAGCCAGCCAAGTTAGAGCAACTCAGTGAACACAATTGAGTGTAAACTATACTTCTGAGAAGTTTAGATGAAAATAAGAAGCAATGGGGTGGTTGTGGCTGGAGGATGGTAGAAATCAAGGGAGGATGTAGGGATGTGGGAGAGACTTGTGCATGTT